AACCTCTCACATATTTACACCATATAGGATTAGTGATACATCATTTGAAACTAATCTTATGGCAATAAATTATCAAAAAAATATAGTCCACCGTCCATATCCATGGGTTCTGCATCTGCAGATTCAGCCAACCACAAATTGAAAAATGTTTTGGGGAAAAAAAATAAGATGGTTGCATCTCTACTGAATATGTTCAGTTTTTTCTTCTCATTGTTCTAAACAATACGGTCTGAAAATCATTAACATTAATAATTAGGTATTATAAGGAATCTAGAGATGATTTAAACTATACAGGAGGCCAGGTGTGGTGGCTCATGCCTATAATCCTAGCACTCTGGAAGGCCAAGACGGAAGAATTGCTTGAGGCCAAAAGTTCAAGACCAGCCTTAGTAAGAGCGAGACTCCAGACTCTATAGAAAATATAAAAAAATAAAATATACAGGAGAATGTGCTTAGGTTATGTACACCATTTTGCATAAGAGTGTTAAGCATTTGAGGATATTTATATTCAAAAGAGTCTTGGAACCAGTCCCCCACAGATACTGAGGAATGACTTTCAAAATTAGATTTTCTACAATTTTATTGTTTTTTTCAAAGAGCATGACAATAATCACTGATGCTTGGTGCCTTGCAAACATACATTGTACAAGTAACATTTCCATAATTGTACGTACAAGTAACAAATATGCACTGTGTTAAGTAACAAATGCAAGATACATGAAAAATGAGTAAGATGGCAAATAAAAATGTTTATATAAATCTCCCATAACACATGATTCATGTTCTTGCTAATGTTCTCAATTTGGCATTGTCTAAGATTAGATTCTCTGAGCTCAATTTTTGATGCAGAAGCATGTGTCTGTTCTCCTACTTGCTGGCGAGAAGAAACATTTCCTCCTTATGTGTCTTAGAATCTTTTTTCCTAAGGTGGCTAAAGAAAAAGAAACAAAAATAGTTTCATTCTTAACATCAGGCTCTGAAAGTTGTTTTTAGTTAGTGTTCACTCTATTGACAGATGGTTTAAGAAACACATTTTAGTGTAAAACAAAAAAAGGAAATGACAGAGTTGAGTTTCTTTTAAAAATGGATTCAAGGATATGTAATGTTATTGATTTTCAGTGATAATGGCAAGCTTCTATGAAATAATCTTTACGTATTACTGCATGTAGATTATCTTACTTAATAGTTGAGACAGTCATACCTTGTCCTAATTTTACCAGTGAAGAGATACCAATATTAAACTAATAGTGAATCACAGCTCACATTCACATTGTGAAAGTCAGACCACAGAGCCCACGTGTTTAATTTCACCACAGTCTCCTCCCAAATTATACGTACCTTTTGAACCTTTTTTCTCTTAGTAATTCATCATAAATTCTTTCTCAGTTTTCAGTATCATCATTAGTAAATGTATTCTCTGTCATTAAATAGGAGCCAAACTTTTCATAATGTGTCCTCCACTGTGAAATTTTCACTTTTAAAAATTATTGTCTAGGCCGGGCGCGGTGGCTCACGCCTGTAATCCTAGCTCTCTGGGAGGCCGAGGCGGGC